CCCAAGGCAAATGTCTTGGTCCAGCAATTGGAAGCGTATAACAATACCAAGGCGCTGGACGCTGCCCTCAAGCAGGTGCGTTCCCAATTGCCCGATGCTGCCGCCATGTTCGTATCAGTTGATGCCGACTCCAAGAAGGTCTTTTGCCTCTGCTCGGTGCCCAAGAGCGCCGTCGAGAAGGGCTTGAAGGCCAATGAGTGGGTGCAGCATGTGTCGCCTGTGCTCGGAGGCAAAGGCGGCGGCAAACCCGAATCCGCTCAAGCTTCGGGCAGCAATTTCGAACGCGTCGACGAAATCGTTCAATTGGCCAGCAAATTTGCCCAGGCAAAGCTTAACTAAATTGCTTCTCATTCAATTTGCATACTCAAAAAGCTTTTTCACCACAAAGAACTAAAATATAAAAATATTTTAGACTGTTCCAAACAGTCGGAAATGTTGCATTTGAAATGGATTTCTGCTTATTTATAAAAAATTATATTAAACATTTGTACAATTTTTTCTAACTATTGGCAAAAAAAAACGAGTTTTTGCATTTCATAAATTTTTTTAACTATGGGGGTTAAACAAAATTTTAGTTCAAATTTAACGACTAAGAATCAGCTAATGCTTTCCGCAGAACTTTTAGATTAGATAAAACTGTTTTTCGGCAGTCAAATATGCCTTTAAGCCTCATTCGATACATAAAATATTATTTTATTTATTAATTTTGTATGACAATGTCTTTATTAAATTGAATTTATTGAATTTTATTTAGTTTATTAAATAGTGTTCATTCGAGGAACTTAAAAACCACTTAGGGTAAGATATAAAATTATTGAATACATCAATTTTTATTGAATATTTTATAATGGGAGGTGTTTTGTAATTCAGTTGGAAATTTTCATAAAAGAGAATATCTATAATTTGTTATTTATTTAATGTAGTCGGGAAATATAGCTAAGCAGCGAATAGTTCTATTAATCAATCTTATCAAAAATTAAATAAAATATTATTCACCTTCCCCAGCAGGTGTCATCGCAACCTAAACTCTTACAAAAGTGCCAAAACTCGAAATTAACTTTTACACCAATTCGTATGTTAAATTCACGTGTTTTGTGAAAGTCTGGCAGTTTTTGAATTGAATAGTCAAACTAGTGCTTTCTGCACAATATCCAGTCGACGGCCTCGGCGAAATTCTTAACCACAGCCGTCGGTGCGGGCGAGATGGCTTCCAGAGCTTCTGGCAAAAACTTGCCCGTCTTGACGAGAATGCCCTGCATGCCCGCCTTCATGGCGCCCACAATATCGTCGTTGACATCCTGAAAACAATAGGTGTAAATCGGATCACAAATATATATTTAAATCAATTCATCTTACATCGCCAATCATGATGCATTCGTTGGGACTCAACCCGTCTGGTATGGCATTGTTGAAAAAGAATTTATTTGGTTTGCCTATAACCGTTGCCGACTTGCCCGTCGCATACTCCAAGCCCTTGACAAAGCAACCGGGTCCCAAGGCCAAGCCATCCGAACGTTTATAGTATTTGCCCTGATGCACGGCCACAAGTTTGTGCGACTTCTTCGCCATAAGCACACTTATAGTGTAGGAAAGTTTGAATAAAGCTTCAATGAAACATATGAAGTCTGCCTTCTCACCTGAAAGCCTTATTTAGGTGAGCATAATCAAAGGCAGCGGGCGCCAGGCCCACCACAACCGAATCATAGGGACGACTCGAGTCCTCTTCAGGAAAATCTTTACGTGCATCGTCCGATAGCAAATAGAAAGGATTCAGTTTCTCATTCTCCACATATGCAGCAGCTGCGCTCAACGAACTGTATATCTCTTCAATATCCAGTTGGAAGCCCATTTTGATTAATAGATCGTAAAGCGTCTTTTTCGAGTCTTTGGTGGTGTTGGTTACAAATTTAACGGTAATATTACTACTGCGCAGCCTACAAGAAAAAAAAACATGTGTGTATACATACATATTCAAGTCCATTGCAGTCTATAGCTGGTGACATACCTATGCAATGCCATAGCAGCGTTAGGTGTTGGCTCATCCTCCACATGGAGTGTGCCGCTAAGATCTATAAGCGCAGCTCTTACGGACATCTTTCTAAATTGCTCCAAACTTCTGCGGCACAGCATTAGATGACCATCGATATCACCCGCTATTAAGTTCAGCAAAAGTATCGAGTAGTAGCTCGAATAAGAATCATCGAACAATGTTGACAAACTGTTGATTTCACGACAGCTCCACTACTGATTATATAAATTCATTTGAATGTTATGTATATTTACATAAGTCGATCTCGCATCGAAGCTTCTTTTCGACATTATAACCTAATATAATATATGGCGTTGCTTCCTGAAATATGAATTAAATATTAATCAAATTTGTCTTAATTTTCCCGAAGTATACTTACCCGAAGTATTCTAATTTTTGTTAACACTTTTAATTACTAACATCACTAACCATAGTATGGTTAGGTTAGTATTGCGTGATTGTTTTAAATCTTTACTTACATTAGTCCTATCGGGAATTCCTTTTATATATTTTTTAAAGTGCCGATAGATTGTACAAGGTGCACCCTGATTGCATTCGATTGTGACCAATTATATATATCGATAAATATGTATATATTATTGCCGGCACCGAAAGAAACATAAATAAAACCATATGACAAAATGTCGCTATTTCCAATTTCAGCTCAGATAATAAGCAAATTTCTAACGAAAAGCCGAATAAACTATTGTCAAGTAGCCACGGCACTGCGTCCCAAAAAGAGCAAGTCGACAAGGAAAGAGGTAAATCAGTTATACAAATATATCAATGTTTACATAACTATTAAATGAAACATTTCCCATGGCAGGCACAATACTTCTCGGATGCGAAACGCGTACGAGCTATAGGTGGTAAAGGAGGCGATGGCTGTGTGTCATTTCTGCAATTGTGGTGCAACGAACGCGCCGGCCCTGATGGCGGCGACGGCGGAAATGGCGGCCATGTCATTTTCCAAGCCTCCAATGATGTGCGTAACTTTAACCATGTGAACAGCGTCCTGCAAGCAGCCGAAGGTGGCATTGGATCAGCTAAGGAATGCCATGGCAAGAATGCCAAGCATACGGTGATCAAAGTGCCCGTTGGCACCGTCGTACGGAATGCCGAGGGTCTGATTGTGGCCGATTTGGGAAGTGTGGATCTCATGTTTGTGGCAGCACGTGGAGGGGCGGGTGGCAAGGGCAATCGCTTCTTCACCACCGACAAAGAGACCTCACCCAAGGTGTGTGAGTATGGACCTGCCGGCGAAGATATGAGCTATATGCTGGAGCTACGCAGCATGGCCGAAGTGGGTCTGATTGGGTTTCCCAATGCCGGGAAGAGCACGCTACTGAATGCCTTAACGCGTGCCAAGCCAAAAGTGGCGCCATATGCTTTCACAACACTTCGACCCCATCTGGGCACCGTTCAATATGACGATCATGTGCAGCTGACTATTGCGGATTTACCAGGCCTTGTGCCGGATGCACATCGAAACAAAGGATTAGGCATACAGTTCTTGAAGCATGCCGAACGCTGCACCCTGCTGCTCTTTGTGCTGGATGCTAGCGCGCCCGAGCCTTGGATGCAGTACAAACAGCTCATGCATGAACTGGAACAATTTGGTGGCCGACTGGCGAAGCGTCCGCACCTGGTTGTGGCCAACAAAATGGATGTGGAATCGAGTGCGAGTAATTTTGAGCAATTGCAGCAGCAGCTGCAGCACCCGGAATTACTCGGCATCAGCGCAAAAATGGGGCACAATCTGGCGAAGCTTCTCACAAATATACGCGTCGCCTACGAGCGACATAAAGAACAACAACGACAATAACATAATTGTTTTCCTAATTTATAATATTTAATTGTAATTAACTTAAATAGATTAGAAAATTAAAAAAGTTAGAGAACTTATGAAGCTAAACACCCTCTTCAGACGTAGGCAGCCAGAAGGCCATGTTTGTGCAGGCTGAGGCGAGCATCATGTACTTGGGATTGAATTGGACGCATTGCACTGGACCCGGGTGATCGCCATTGAGCACGGAGACCTTGTTGCCGGTGTCAGCATTCCAGATATGTACACGACCATCGGTGCTGCCGGAGAAGATGAACTGCGAGTCCGGACTGAAGCTGGCCTCGATGGCAATGCCCTTGTTGTTCGGATAGCCAGTGAACGTTTGCAGCGGTGTGCCATGAAATGCGTCCACTAGTCGTATAACTGAACCATTTGTGCTGATCAGGATGGTTTTGCCATCGCGCGAAAATTTCAGACCCGTCCAGTCGCACTCCTTCTCCTGGTTGAGCTTGAATGTGACAAAGGGTCCCTTGTCAAAGGACCGCAGATCGTACAGTTTAATGCTTTCCGAATTGACGCCGGCCGCAAAGATAAGACCTTCCGGATCGTAGGCAGCAATCGGTCGACCCGATAGATGCATAAGTCCCTGGCAGTTGGGTGAGCGCAAGTCCCACAGACGCAACGTTTTATCCAATGAACCAGATAGAAAGGTATCCTCCACGGGTGAGATACACAGCGAAATCACTTTTTTCGTATGGCCGGGAAAGTAGCGCAGATATTTGTTGTCATGCAAACTGAGATATCGTATGGTGTCGTCGACCTTAGTTGAACTGTGTATGGCCGTATTGTTGGCATGCGTAAAATGTATCAAATCGACGCCATATTTCTTGGAATTCACAGTCCTTGATTGCGTGCCCTTCTCGCAATCGTATATAACAATTTGATCGTCCTCGCTGCAAGAGATTAGATGTTCGCCATTCGGTGCAAAGTCAATCGCATTGATTTTGTCTGTGTTTTCGCGAAAGATTTTGGCTACTTTAAAGCTGCGGACAACTGAATCCGTTAATTTTATTTTCATTTTGACAAAACGCTTGTTTTCAACCACGCAGCAATTCGGCTTATATCTTGTGTTATTTCTTTATTTTCATGCAAGCACTAGTGGTGCGTAAATTGTAGTGACGAGGGCTGATTTTATAATCGATAAGCCAGATATCGATAGTTTTGGCGTCTTTTAATTACCGAATTTTCAGAATTAAATATATTTTGTAGATTTATTAAACTCGTAACAATTGTATTGTATTTTATTTTAAAGTTTTTATAATTCTTTACAGCTGATTTAAACCAAATCAGTAAATTATAAATGCTTAACATTATGAATATAAGATAAAAAATATCCAATTAACAAAATTTTGCAACATATTTATTTTAATTATATATCATAAGAACATATCATTGCTCTACCTTTGCAGGTACTGAAGCTTCATAAGTATTGTTATTGCCCAACAGCTCCTTGGGATCCACATAGATTATGCCATCCTTGCCACGAGCATATGGCGTCAAGCCATTCGTTTGTAAGTAAAAATCGCCATGTATACTAAGGAAACAAATAATAAGTTAAATATATAATTTAATTATAAAATACTCAACTTACTTAGTGGGACAATTATGACCCATGACAACAGGTTGCTCAGATTCAATAATTTTGTTTAGTTTGAAATCATCCCAGCTTTTGGCTGCAACCGCATCGAACTTAATTGGAAAACGGTCCGAGACGCTCTCCGCCCAGAACCACCAACTGCGCCGATGACTAGACAAATCATTATCGCTGAGCATTTTATAATTGCGCTTCGGACAGCCAGGCTGCAATGTCTTGCCACCGTTTGGCCAAAAGTCCACGGTGCCCGTGCTGCTAGGTGCACCATATAACCAAGCATCTGTGTGAATAACATCCACGAATTCTGCATCACTTGCGCTTAGATGTGCGGCCAGACCAGCTGTGAGGTAGAAGAGGGGAAAGGCAGGATCCAGGCCGGTGATTCTATTTCAATTGAATAACAATGTTAATTATTATATAAGTATACACTAAAAGCAAAACGAACCTTTTAATTTTCAATACACCTTTGGATCGTCTAGTAATCTCACGGCCTATAATTCCAGCCATCTGGCCGCCCAACGAATGTCCAACAATATGAAATTTCTCTATGTCCAGGCCATGCTCGAACATGTCCAGCAGAACTTTCGCTAGTTCCGGTCCCAATTGCTTGGCATTGACGACCGCATCAAAGATATAATTGCCATCGGCCAGTTCGCCCCAATCCAAAACAATTAGATTCGTATCGTTGCGTTCTAGATAAGCTTCCGCAATCACATGTATGCTCTCCACATCGGGATCCTCCAGATATCCATGCAAATACAATACAGTATTCTTGTTCAAATCCAGGTGCTCATCTTCTAGCAAATTTTTGGAGTCATGCAGATCATAGATATCGCTATCAGCTACGCTGGGTCTGACATAATTAAAAGTATGTTAGCTTAGTTGCTTAGAGTAAAGGTTAACTGCTACGGCATACCCATAGTACAATATAAATTTGGCTGTCGTTAAGTCTGCCTTCGAGCTTTTGAGGCCGCATAGTAACCCTGAAAGTGTACACCACAAAAGAAATAGAAGTAAAAATGTTTAATTACGTAAAATAAATGATGATGGGTGGGAAAGGTAAAAACGGTCAAAGATAATAAAAATTTCACAATGCTCGCATAACATTTAAGATTATGGGTTTATCTACTGCGATATATGAATTAATAGTTGGGCCTATTTTCGCTTTTAAAAGTAAGCAAAAGTCTAGATTTTTTAAAAATTATATTACAAATGTTTCTTCATATACAAGGAAAAAATCGTTTTCTTTTTTCATTCAAATTAAAAGTTTCGGACTCATAATACTTTTCACTTCACTTACTTGATTTATTTTTAATGGCTTTGTGCATATTTCTGCTGCAAAGAAAATAATATTAATAGAACATAAACAATTTGATAACATAAATATTTACATTTCTAAACTGTGCTTTATTTATTATAAGAATTCGATTGTTAATTATAAAATTTATTTCCGGAATATCTTTTAGGTCTGTCGACTACTTCCACTCAACTGCGCTGATTAATAAATACTAAGCGAAAATCCATCACAAAAATCACATTGAGTAAATCTAATTAAAGTGGGATTTGTGATAAGATAGCAAATACAGGCAATAGTATACAGTGGACGCGCACTTCGACGGATGAGCATGGCTCGTTTCATATTACATTTTCATAATATAAGAGTTTGTAGAATATGAGGTCTTTGGTTCAAGGTAATAGACGTTTAAGGTAGGCAAAAAGGAGACAACAATATGTAATTGGCGGGCTTCAATTGGATGTTGGCAAATAGACCTTTCACTCTAGTTGGACTGTGGAAATACGAAACTATACATACATAAATACATACATTCATACATATGTATAGTTGTTGATTTCAAAATCGCAGCCGACCACACTGCACTAAACTACACTTGATTTATACTTGTAACGGTATTAGTTACGCCATTAATGTGTTTGGTGCCGTTAGAGAACACAAAAGGTGAAGAAAGTACTAACACTTCAATTTACATTTATGACCAGCAGCTCCATAGAGACAATGAAACACTCACTAGCATCTGGCTAATCGGAGGAAGGGGCAGGTGAATGCAGACGGTGCTTACGTTTTAATAAAACGCGCCACTTGAGCTCAAAGTGCGATAACCGCCGTATAGCCGTTTAATTAATAGGCGGCGCTTGCAGGGGCCAAAAAAAGCCAGTAATATTTGTTATAAATAGATCTGTCACAGAACACGTTCACCTGCAGCGAATACTCGTAACATAAATTGAAGTGCTGTGGCCTTAATTGCACTTTCTGAATTAAATCATAACGGACATACATACATAAGTTACATTTGCATACAAAAACACATACACACACACTCACGTATCGGGCACTTTGACGGGTTTGTACAAAAGTACGCGACGAATTAGAAAATTATTTATTGGCTTTCTCTTTAGTTACATGAGCAAACATGCATACACATACGCTGTTTACTGTAGTGTTTACGGAACCATCAGTCAATATATTTGACATGTAATTTGTAATAAATATTAACCAAGCACTCCAAGAAACCTACGCGCAATGAATCTAAAATTCTTTTTGGACCGCACAACTTCATTAACTTGAGTCTGTGTGTACGTTAAGGTACAACGCGTCGCGACGCAATGACAAGCCCGACCGATCTGCGCTAGTGATGTGAAAAAACATCGATGCATCGACAATCGATGTTTTTTTGGCGATGTTTTCCGATGTTTTCCGATGTTTTTATTGATACCGATGTTAAGCGATGCATCGATGTTTGACAGAACATCGGGCGTTAAATTTCACAACATTGCAGAACATATGGATACACTGCCACATAGAAAAATTCGCGAATTTGTTTCTTTTTTTTACCCTGTGTTTGCAATGCCAAAGTAAGTAAATTGTTGAAAATATATATAAATATAGTTATTTGCAATTACAAATGTATTTATTCTAGAATAACAACAAAGACAAGCTTTTGCTGGAGGCACTTTACAAAATTGATGGAAATAGCGCGAAATGCAACATTTGCAACAAAGTTTTGAAGATTGCGGGTAACACGACCAACATGAAGGACCACCTGCGGTCCATTCATAAAATAGAACAAAATGTTGAAGAAATGTTGTTTAAGAATTGAATTAACGAAAAATAACGGAATTGGTAGAAAACATCGATACATCGATGTTTATAGCCGATGTTTTACACAACATCGATTTATCATTTTGCAAACATCGATGAACATCGACATCGAATTTTCGACCCAAATTTACATCACTAATCTGCGCTAGTAAACACACACTTGCTCTTTCGCTCTTCCTCTCTACACACACACGTTCGTTCGCTTGCTCTCTACAAAAGTGCAAACACTCTCAACCACACACGCACACACGCAAATGGCTAAACGAGTATAATACAAAAACAACTTTGCCGTGGACTATCGAGTTGTGCAAACATCAGACAGACACAGCAAATAAATAAATAATTGTAAATAACTGTGGATAACTGTTAGAAATCGGCGCTCAGTTTGTAATGCCCAATTACATTTTTAAAGCTAAATGAGAACCTTTAAATAAACAAATCCAGTATAGCGGCGGACTTTTGCCGAATGTACGGCACAAGTGCTCGACGCACAATTCGATTTCGAAACGATGTTCCTGTTTTAGCTTATGAACGCAATGTATCGAATATACAAACATATGTACATATGTATATAAAATTTTTTGAAATAGAGTATATAGTCATGTTTTCTTTTACAATAAATTTTATTTTGCATTCAGATGCGATTAACCAATACATTTTGTTTTCAAAGTCTACACAGGTTTTTGTATTGTTTTTTTAAATATTGAATTTTTGCTTATGTTTTATGTAGTTAATAAGTATGTAAGTAATATATATATTTATGTGTGGCGTTTTCAGTGGCTCGTTATCCTCCGTTTGCTCGAATGTTGCATTTTGAAAATGTTAAATATGTAGACTTCGAGGCTCTTATTATGTTTTCTCCGCTGTAGTTTGGCGTCTCCAGGTTCTACATAATTGATTGATCCATGGTTTGGTTTTTTAACTACAAATTTCCGTTTTTAAGTGTTGCTACACAATAATTATATTTTTGTTGCCAGGGTGTGTGAAATACATACATTTTAAAAATAGAATAAAAAATTATAAAGTTGATTACGCTACGGTATTTGAAAAATTACAATCCATAAAATATTCGAAATGTGGAACCGGGAAAGAAACAGAGAAGAATGTACATCAATTAACAGTTAGTATTTCGTTAATATATGCTTGGATTCAATTAGTAATAGTTCGTTTCTTTGAGTAACGCAGACAATTTATGCAACATGGACAAATTTTGAGACACTTGGAAACATGGTATAATAGGGCTCAATGGTATTCCGACTTGCGTATTGTTATATACTAATCTGGTCACACACACACACACACACACACACAAGGTGTTCACACATGACATTATTTTGGTTTTGACTACTCATCCTCTAACATTCCGAAACACTTTTCAGCTGCTGCGGCTGCTGCTCCTGTTCCCCCCCAGCGTTAACATTGCTATTATTGTTCTCGATATTAGCATTAAGCTCGAGCAGAACGCCAGGCTCAACGGATGCTGCAGAATTGGGCGGCGGCTCAACGACCAGCTTGGACGCCAGGGCGGCCTCAAGCTTAAAGCCCATGCAAGGCGGCACTGCGGTTCTAAAGACATTCAGCTCCATTTCTAAAGGTTTGATATATAGATTATACTTGCAGCATATGGCAAAAACTTATGCTGAGTCATTGTGTGGCCGTGTGTGTAGAAATTTCTCTGCATCAGTTATTCTTTCTTACCGGCTGCTATTCCAGCAATTGCCTGTGCAGCGAAATGCTTAACATCCACATCAGCATCAGCATTCAGTTTGTCCAACGTTGGCTTCACTTGCGAATCGATAACGCTCGCCTCCAGGAACGGGGAAATCTTCTGCAATGTTTTAGCCACATTGAAACGCACATTGGCAACTGGATCGGCGGCGAGCAGCAAAACAGTGGGCAGCAACAGTTTCGTGGTGATTTCAGTGCCGCAAACCTCAGCCAAAACATTTAGACAGAAGAGACAGGTCATTCCTTAAAAGAATCGGTATTAATAAGCAATAGATAATAATCGATAATAATTTGTGATTACTGTGCAAATAGTTCTTGTTGCGCGACATAACTAATATCATTGGAATAATGGCCTGCTCGGCCCAGGGCGCACCAAACTGTTCCACCAGCTTCTTCATATTTAATGTGGCGGCCTCTCGAATGGCATATACATGATCGTTCAGCCAACCCATGCAGAGGCCGCGCAGCTTCTGATCGAAGAACTCCTGGCCCAGCTGACCAGCCAGCGCGGGCATATACTCAATGATAGCAAGACGTACACGCCATTTGGAGTCCTCTGCAAGCTCCACGATGGCGGGAAGAAGGGACTGTTGAAATGAAATTGAATGGCATAAGACTATAAACAATCCAAATTTTGTAAGAGCTTAATTATTTACCTGCGATAGCTGCTGAATACCGATGACATCATTGACGCAATCCAAATTTGAGATTATATTCAGACGCACTTCTGGGCATTCGTCCTTCAGCTGAATGAGGAACAGTGGCAACAATTGCTCGACTGTTTGATAAGCACCCAGCATCGGGCTTAGACCCATTATGACAGAAGCCAGCGCTGACTTCACATGTGGATTGGGATCGCTGACCAAATCGCGTACGTATGGCAAAATGGAGCTCAAAATTATTTGCATCTGATTGGCTTTGTCCAAGTTGGCGCAAAAGTCTTTGACTTTAGTGGCCACAGCGGCGCGCACCTCAGCCTCGGCATCCTTGAGGAGATACTGAAAAGCGGGCACTAGATCGACGCGTGTTATCTCGGGACCCACAGCCTTCTGTAGATCCACAAACTTCTCGGCGACCATATAGCGCACACGCCACGATGAATCGCTGGCACACTGACGCAGCGTAGGCAACACCAGCTGCAAAGGGTTTCGATATTAATATGGTTTATGAATATGAAATGATAATTATTTCACTAACATGTTCAACATCGTCCTGTGGCAGCAATTGAGCAATGCTGACACATGCTTCGACGGCTAACAGTCGCACCGAGTCTTGATCATCCTGCGCCAGTTGTACAAAATTCGGTATCAAGTCCGATTTGAGATATTCCGTTTCTACTACTTTGGCGAATTCGCCCAATTTATTGGCTGCGGCACGTCGCACCATTGGCGTTTCGTCCTGGCACAACTTCCGGAAATTTGCACGCAATTCGGCCTTCACGGGCTGTGTGACGCGTGGATAGCACACGGAGAATAAACCACAAGCCGACGTGCGTGAGGTAAACCAATCGCCAGACACCAAACGCTGCAACGTTGGCACCACATGTATCTCCAAATCTAGAGCACTGTGCTCCGCAGCAACAGTGCGCAGAGATTCAACTGCCTTGTCTCGCACAACTGTTTCCTCGACAGTAGCTAAGCTTTCCAGCGGCGGCAACAAATACATCGCATACTCAGGTCCACCCACAAGACCTGAAAGATACACCATGTACACATATTTATATATTCATATATATCCGTATTACAAATTTGATAAGAATCAATTGTTTCCATACTTGTGAAATTGCCCAATTGATCGGCCAATGCGAGCAGCACTTCATCTTCATCGTATATGGTCTCAGTTAAAAAAGGTATCAGTTCGGAACGTGTGCGTTCCTCGCCCAAAGCCAGGGCAATAGTCGATAGCTTTTTGATCGAATTCAAACGCAACTGCGAAAAGATGATAAATAATTAAATTATTAATCAAAACAAAATAATATATGATAAGAGAGTAAGTTAGGAGTACCGAATAATAAATACCCTAGCATAGATATCACAATCAGACAAATCGACAAATTGACGTTAATCAGAAATATAAATTTTTTGTTTATATGTATATTCTATTAAATTCAACACCTATTTCGCTTACACATATCTCATGACAAAGTTATAAGCATTGCAAGCCTATAAGAGTAGCTGCAGCTTTACTCACACACAAACACATGTACATATACTCGCGCACATACATACGAATTGCTATTCACAATGTGACGCATTTTTTAATGCATAGTTATGTATGTATGTGTGTGTATGTACATGGCTATGCTTATACATACCTACATACATTGTCAGATTATAACCAAGTATACATTTGTTTAATATTGACGTTATAACTAACCTGCACATCCTCATTTTTCAATTCGTCAATTAATACCGCAATGGGATAAAGAGAATCATCGACAGATTTGTCGCTTGCTGCCATTTTTCTTTTCTCACTCACACAGTAGTATAGAAAATCGGTTTCTTTTCAACTATTCCGCACGAAATACACTAGACGCCCAACACCGAATTATCGAATTACTGTTATAATTAAATGCTTTCGCACAGTATTTATTTTAATTTATTTGAAAATGTCCACAATTTAGAAAAGTTATTTGATTGATTTTCCAGTGAAAATGCGATGTCGATTCCGTGCAAAAAAATTTTTTTTGGTTCTATGAAATGACACAACGAGACAGAACGATGCTACTCGATACTTTTTACGTTAACAGCAACGTTTGCCCGGCAAACAGAATTACTCCCCCACTTAACAGACTGGAGAACGAGAAAATGCCGGAAAATAAAAATAATCGTATTTATATTTTCTTTTTTAATTTTCTAAAAACGAGACAAACTCAGTTAATTTCAGCAACTGATCGTCGCTGGCAACACGAGGTGTAGGCTCTTTCATTTTTGGCAGCAGGATTCGCTTATCACCATCCTGTTCTCGTGTCCAATCTGAGCAGGCGTTATGCAGCTCCTCTGCTGTCATCTGCGCCATTTCCATCAAATTCTGCTCGTATATTGAAACGTATGCCGTAGACGTCAGGTTGAAAAGCTCCTCGCGTTGCTTGGCTATAATTGAATTATATTAATTATAAGCGAAATATTTACATGATTTATTTGCCTCTGCTTACCCAAAAGATCATCAATGATAGGCCTATTAGTCTCGGACCACTCGTATTTAATATGTTTAAAGAAATCTGCATAGTTGTTGTGCTGCAGTGCAAGATTCAATAGATTTAATTGCGCCAGTTCTTTGTTTTGTTCCTTTAGATTATTAGCTATACGCATCCAAAGAAATTTCGCATTGGCTCTGTAAGCATAGAATTCATAAATAACACACAAAGCATTAGGTTTTAAGCCTCACGCACAATTTGTTTTGATAGAGATAAATCGCCATCAGCTGGTGGTAAACTTCAACGCCCGGCGCTATGTTCTGGAAAATTACAATTAATATTGTTGCTTTCCCATTTTATTTAAATAATCACCTCTAGCTCCTCATTTTGCAGCCTATTGAGCTTATCATTGTATTTATCTTGCTGCATTTTATGTATTCTAAAATTTACTTTAAACAACTGATTTCAGAACAAATTTGCTGTAAGCAATCTATCCATATACACATAACGAGTAACGAATTCGTTATTGTTTGCCATTCCCCTGTTATGTGTGGAGCAATTATGTCAACTAACAAATATGCCAATGCAACTCTGCATATATTTTGTAGAGTTCGTTTGTAGAGTGTTGTTCCACAAGTCTCCACTTTCTTTTCGGTGTAAAAAACTAAGCTAGTAACATCATGGGTCGTATGCACGCTCCTGGGTAGTTGATTTTTATATTGTTTAGAGACGTGTATTTTTGTAAAATGTGCTTGACTAACGTGCCACAAGAAGCCCACATCATAGCAATTTTATGGCTGCAGATAATGCGCTAGTTATGAGCCCATTTTAAGCCACCATGGCAAGCACATGTTGCGAATGAAATGCGCTCTCTTCTTCTTCCGCCCATTGTGGCCATTCACAGGCAAAACTAACAAATACAATTTACTTTGCAGCAAGGGTATATCCCAATCAGCCCTTCCCTACAGACGCACCGTGCCATCATGGCTGAAGCTGAACGCTGAGGATGTTAAAGAGCAAATCAAGAAGCTCGGCAAGAAAGGCCTGACACCCTCGAAAATCGGTATGAATGTTGTATTTGTTTACGATTTGAGGTTATGTTAATATACACTTGATATTCAATCATTTTTAGGTATCATCCTGCGTGATTCCCATGGTGTGGCTCAGGTTCGCTTTGTCAACGGCAACAAAATTCTTCGCATCATGAAATCGGTGGGTCTCAAGCCCGACATCCCCGAGGATCTGTACCACATGATCAAGAAGGCTGTCGCCATCCGCAAGCATTTGGAACGCAATCGCAAGGATAAGGACGGTAAATTCCGTTTGATTCTGGTCGAGTCCAGAATTCACCGTCTGGCTCGCTACTACAAGACCAAGAGTGTGCTGCCCCCCAACTGGAAATACGAGTCCAGCACCGCCTCTGCTCTTGTTGCCTAAGTTTTCAATAATGTGAGTGCATACATTTTTAATGTACGTGAAGAACAGAAAATAATAAAAACAAAAATTTACAAAATAAACAAAAGTGTATCAACTGTAGGTAAGAATAAAAACTACATATTGTATATTGTTTGTTTCATATCAATTGAATAGGGTGGGTCTTTAGCTGGTTGCTAATAACAACTTGTTTTGAATATATATTAGAGGGGAGATATATTTACTTCAAGAAGGACAAACTATTGTCGGTTAATAATTCATATTGATCTAATAATTTGCTAAACAGATAAAAGTTAATACATAAATATAAATCGTCGATTATAGTCACAAACTTTGTACAAAAACATATTCAAAGTGTTAAAACTATATAAAAAAAATAAATAAAGGTAAATAATAACTAATATTTTAATAAATAAAAAGAAAAATATAATCTAGATTCATATACTGTCCAATTCTGGTCACAAATTTAGTTTAATACACGTATGTTAAAAAAGGTACTTTATTACTTGCAATGGTACATTTTTTTCTAACGAAAAAGTGCTTAGTATTTGCTCTGGTACATTTTGATGGAGCTAACAAAAGGGTACATTTTCATATTCACATACGTACATACCTAAATAAATAAAAATGAATAAGTATTAGCTTTCTATATAAACACTTATAAATAAAATATAATATTTCAAAAATATTAATTTTCAAAGAGAATTAAAAATTTGTGAGCCTATCCATATGTGCCATGTCAATAATCCATAGGGCCGAATTAAGAAAATTGATTGCCGTTCGCTTTTAATATTATTAATTTCTCCAGAGCTATGCTCTTCGAATGCTTTCCAACTGTCAATAACCAATAAACTTGTTGATTAATTCACTTTACATATGCGCATATGTAAGTATGCATGTTGGCATAAGTACATATGTACATACATATGTAAAAAATATTGTACATGACATACCTATATATCTCACACTGTGGCAAATTCAGTTGAAAAGAGCTCAATATGCCAGCTGTTTTTCAGTAGCATGCTGCCCTTTCAGGCGGACGGTTCGGCATTTTTTTTTTGTTGCGTGTTTGTGCTGTTCTACGTCATTCTTAATTGCTTTTCGTTTCCCACAACAACAAATTGAATAGAATGATTTTGTACATTTGTTGAACAGTGTTTAATTAAAATAAAAAAGAAACGTACGTATGTACATGTGGTTTTCTTCGATTCGCATCAATCGAACAATTAAATTAATTTGAAATGTGTTTACAGTCATTATATACCTGTATATGTCTACTGCATTGTGCGATTAGATAATTTATACGGAACTGCAAAAACGACCTCTCTCTCGCATAACAATAGCTAATAGCGATTTGTGAATAAGCAAAGGAACTCAGTTTTCCGCTAACTGTTATTACGGATATAAGATAAGCGCGCCTACACAGGAATTCCTGTGTGTCTGTCCGCATGAGTGTGTATGTGTGCACGTATAAATAGAGGCAAAAGGGAATCGAAAACAAGAACCGCGTGTTCTAAAATAAATATGTACATGCTTCTGCAAACATGTATATACACTCATATATATGTATGTATGTATGTCGGTAAATACTGCGGCACATAGTGAGATTTGCGCTGGAGTTGGATTTTAGATATTTATAAATATAATCTTGCCTTTTTGTATATTTTCTTTTTTTTTTTCAAAATTTGTATATGCATATGTAGGCATGTTCGTGCATATAAATAGTCTTTTATATTTTAAACTACCGTTCATTGTTAGTAAGATTGCAATAATGTTTACTACATTTGCCGGCATCAACCGTGTGAAACATGCATGTGTACATACATACATACATATGTATGGATCCACTTGTTTGTATTCACTCGATTTGTGTATGTAAGTGTGTAAGCGCGCCACCAAGTGAAGTCATATTCAAATTTGACACACACACATACGCAAATTCTGTTCCGTTCAAATTCACATCAGCAAACATACACACTCTCACGCAGCCAGACAAGTAATCGTGAGATTGGGGCGCCTCTCTGCAGATAATTTGTTTATTTAATTTTCGATTTGTTTATTATGAGCTCAAGCAACAAAGTAAGTTGTTAGCACCCCCATAATTGTTAGACTTCAAAAGCTTATAATACAAAAACACTCGCCTATTCAACTGTAATTATACATATACATATGTATGTGTAGAATGCTAAAGAATAACTTGCAACGAGAGCGAATCAATCAATGCAATTGCTATAGTAATTAGCAAATTAAAAAAAAAAAACTACCAATTTACTTTTACATCGATTTATTTATTATTATTATTATTATTATTATTATTATTATTTTTTTATATCAATTTGCTTTTCAGCTTGAACGGTTAAAATGCAATCTATAAAAACTGCAGATTTGCCGGAAAATCCCCGAGAACATGCGAATTTTATATCGGCAGCATGTTTTTGGTAAGTTGTCTTTAATTTGAAATTAATTATTGTTTTGATGTTTTATATGTATATGTATTTATAAATTTTACCATCAGGTACACCATGCCCACTTTCCTGAAGGGGCGCAAGAAAGTGCTGGAAACTGAGGATCTCTTTAAAGCACTGAAGGAACATAAATCAGGTTAGTTTATTTACATTTGAACAATAACAATGAACATGAACATTTAATAATATGATATATATGGACTTTTTCCTCGCCGAAATTTGAAGCCAGTAACTTCAAGAATATAATTATATTGCAAAAATAAATAGTATTTTCCGATTTTCTGGACACCAAATTTGAAGCCTTATTGCACAAACAAACAGAATCTAACTTGTTGACAAAAAATATATTTATAAATTATAGCACAATATAAATTATTATCAGCTAGACAGTCTAGCAATTTAATAAAGATAATTTAATAATTTCTCTTAGACAGTCCAGCGAGCAAATGAAAATAATTACTACTGTAATTGTATTAAATATTTTTATTTGTATATTATGAAGTGTTGAAATTAATTACTTATGTAATATGAAACGTACCTGCATAATTTCATCATATTATGAAAACAGAAACAATTATCAGTTTGCATATAATCAATCTTATCAATTAAACTGTGCATAAAAATTGTCACATGATTGATATGTGACATACATATACATATATATTTATAAGCCTACTATGCATAACTTTCATATTTATATATTTTTTTTAAAACAACAAATTTCATTCAATGAACATTTGCGATAACTAAGTCTATGAAAATAAAACAAGTACATTTAAATAGTTTTGTCTATAAGCGGGATTTTAGAAATTTAGAAATAATTAATAATAATTTAGGGAGAGAAAAAAAAAGAAGATTTAAAAAAATATATTACATATTTATATTTACTAATTATATATCAACATTAATCTAAAACTAAGACTACCTTAAGAATTTTTAGTTTTAGTTTTTATTGATATATTTTTGAAATATGTACTATATTTATATATATATATATATATATATACATATATTTACATATTTTTTATTTATTTTTTTGTTATACTGCCTCATAAGTATAGGCAGATTTATTGCTCATAAAAAATATAGATTGCTTCAGAAACTCCTCTAACTAAAGTAGGCCAGATAAATACAAACATACAGAAAGTTGAAAGGCAAACAAGCGTCAGCTCTATAGCTAAGGCGTTCCTCTTTGAGAGCATTCACTGTTGTCACTGTGTGGATCTGTAGACAGCGAAAATACGAATATAAAGAATTCCGTTTGAAACAATCGCCAGCATTGCGTGATCTGAACTTATCAGGTCTTAAAAAAGCTATGTAAAATCGGACGTTGACTGGCGAATTGTTTGTTTCAGATACATTTTGTAATGCTTGGCCGATGATAAGACTTGGCCTACAATGATTTAATAGGTTTATTTACAAACTTCGCAAAGGGCGAAGTTTTCAGGGCGCAGTAGATTGCATCAGTGGGTATGATTGAATAATAATATATTTACAATGGTAATAATGGTAAAAAATATTTTATTTTTGTTGTTGTCAGAAACCCTTGGCAATGAGTTGTGTGATGCCTGGGAGCGGGAGCTGCAGAAGAAGCAGCTGAACCCCAAGAAGGAGCCAAGTCTGCTGCGTGCCCTGGTGCGCGTCTTTGGCCTCCACTTTGGCATGCTCGGCCTGGTGCTGTTCATGCTGGAGCTGGGCCTACGCACGGTACAGCCGCTGTGTCTGCTAAAGCTGATCTCGTATTATACCTACGATGCGGAGTCCAAAGAGAACGCCTATTACTATGCAGCGGGCGTGGTCGCGTGCAGCGCCCTGAATGTCATCATTATGCATCCCTATATGCTGGGCACAATGCATGTGGGCATGAAGATGCGCGTTGCCATTTGCAGCATGATCTATCGGAAATCGTTGCGGCTGAGCAAGACGGCGCTGGGGGACACGACAGCCGGGCACATTGTGAATCTGATGTCGAACGATGTGGGACGCCTGGATTTGGCGACAATATTTGTGCATTACCTGTGGGTGGGGCCATTGCAAACGCTGTTCATCACATATCTCATGTATTTAGAGGTAGATGTGGAATTACTCCTCCAATATGTGATATATATATATAATACCATAGAAATTCTCTTTCAGATTGACATTGCTGCTGTCTTTGGTGTAGCATTCATGCTGCTCTTCATACCCCTGCAGGCCTGGCTGGGCAAGAAGACGTCGGTGCTGCGGCTGCGTACAGCATTGCGTACGGATGAGCGAGTTAGGATGATGAATGAGATCATTGCCGGCATTCAGGTGATCAAGATGTATGCCTGGGAATTGCCCTTTGAGACCATGGTGGCATTTGCTCGCAAAAAGGAAATCAATTCTATACGACATGTCTCCTATATACGTGGCATTCTGTTATCCTTCATCATATTCTTGACGCGCGTATCCATCTTTCTGAGTCTCGTTGGGTATGTGCTCTTGGGCACATTCCTAACACCCGAGGTGGCCTTTGTGATAACGGCTTACTATAATATCTTGCGCACCACCATGACTGTGTTCTTTCCTCAAGGCATCTCCCAGATGGCCGAGGCACTGATCTCAGTCAAGCGTGTTCAAACCTTTATGCAGTACGAGGAGACAGATGTTGTGGATAAATCCTTGGAGGTGCCCCTGGTCTC